GACTTTTCACAAGTTTTATATCAATATCACACCCCAAGCATTCTCTAAATATCTTGTTTAGCGAAATGCACAATTATCCAAATGTCCACCTGTATTGAAGCAAAAAGTTTATTCATAAAATATTAATTTTACTTGAGAAGCGACAGCTTTGACGGGGCCTCGAAGACGCTATCAAAAGAATCTGCCCTTCACCCTTGCGCAATTAATGTTTGCCAGAATCTATCAAAAGATTTAGGATTAAAGGTGCTATGATTAGGAATTGCATGCATCAGAAAAGTTGCTATTCCAGGCAGTTTAGCAGACGATGCATGAAAGACTTCAAAAGTATCAGTACCTTGCATGAAATCTTAAATTTACCTTAAATAAAAACTGTTCCCTCAAAAACACTCGCTGATGAAAGCCTGTTATTCTGCAACTGCGAAAGCCGAAAGAAAGAACGCGGTGTAACAAGATGTAACCAAAGACACATGTGTTATATTTATTTTACCAATGTGAAGTACTAGGCTCTCACAACAAAATTGATGAATTCCTCAAAAATGTCTCAAAGTTTCCCCAGATTTCCGAAGAATTCCTTAGACATAAATAACGTAGTAACACAAAGTATAGCTATTGCGTAATTTACAACTTTAATAGACCCTTTGCATGTTAGACTACTTTTTGATATGTGCAAAATAATCCAATCAAATCACCACAGCTGAAAAGAGCGTACCAAAATGAGTAAAAACACAAAGTTTGGTTGCGAAATGTCGTAAAATACGGAAAATATAGCCTTGCAAAGTTTGCAAATTTGTATACTTTAGTTTAACGCACGCAAAATGTTACCACATTCAGGCCCAAAATGGTAACTTTTTGCGTGCGTTAAACTAAAGTATACAAATTTGCAAACTTTGCAAGGCTATATTTTCCGTATTTTACGACATTTCGCAACCAAACTTTGCATTTTAACTAATTTTGGTACGCTCTTTTCAGCTGTGGTGATTTGATTGGATTATTTTGCACATATCAAAAAGTAGTCTAACATGCAAAGGGTCTATTGGCCACATGTGACCAATTAGACCAAAATAATCATATCTAACGTAAAACCAGGCAAAAACAACTAACCACGAGTTTCAGCAACACTTCCCCGAAAATAGTGATTCCCCAGATCGCTCCCCAAAATCTACCAATTTCCCCGTTTTGGGAAATTTCCCCGTTTTGGGGAAATTTCCCCAAAAGTGAGAACCCTGGACTGAAGTACGCACGACATTCAACACGCATTATATAATAACTATAGTGAAACACGCAATGTGATTGGTCAATAGCCGTGCAGGATCAGACAATCCTGCACGCGTTTTAGACAATCCTGCACGCGAAATTTAATTTTAATAAAGTTAACCGTTGTTTCACTACAGTTATTTTATAAAACAATTACCAAATGATTTTCCGTGCAGGATTGCGTGATCCATGCACTTGGGATGTTGCTCGACTTTCGGAAAGCGTGAAAATACACTCGCCTACGGCTCGTGTATTTTCACGCTTTCCGAAAGTCTCGCAACATCCCGCGTGCATGGATCACGCAATCCTGCACGGAAAATCATTTGGTATTCCTTTATTCAAAAACGAGTGCCACTGAGCTATATATAACTATGGACATGCTAAGCATCATGGGGCGAGCCTGAACAAGAACAATTAGAGCGAGGAAAAACATGCGATTTCATTTCTTGTTCCTTATTGAGACCTATTCTCACAGTTTTAAATTCAGGGAGGTAATTCGCGTGTTCGTTCTTTTTCGTTTGTTTAATAGAACTGTTTGTGCATATTAGTAACTTACATATTAACTGTTTTCGTCTCGTTCTTCCATGGAAATCAACGGTTGGTCTTCCTGTAGCCTTTGATGTAGTTGTCGAATGCGCCCGATGGTCGTGAGACGCTGTAGTGGGAAAAGGTGGTGTGAACAGTAAGTCTGTTATGTTTCTCACTCTTAAGCAAGCTAGCTTCGACGGATTGGTACGGAGGTGTGGGGCAAAACGACCACCATTAAACATAAGTAGATGCTTAAATTAGTTTTCTATTGTGACTTCACTGGAACGCCGCCCAAGAAAGTCCACCCAACGCTTTATTTTTAAACGCTTTATTTATTTATTCAGAAACGATTTATTCAGAAACGCTTTTACAAAAGAGTTTACAAAGTGACGGTTAAATTGCTGACTTTCTCTTTGAAATACAAACTTTCTGTCTTAGCCAATCAGAACGTTGTTAATTACCAGTGGTTACTCGCGCATGTGCATAACTTACTAAACCACACAACGTCGACCGTCAATGACGGCTATGTTCTCCCGGGTTCCGGGTATAATTCCTAATCTTCGAGCCGAATTAGTAGCTACCCTCGTAGACGTTCCGCGCCCAATCGGGGATAAGTTTCAATGAATGTTACACAATAATGGACCTTTTCCGTAATTACTTCACAACATTTTTTTAATTGCCCATATATATCATAACATGTATTATACTTAGATATATATTTACAATATGAATTTTTTAATATGGCTAGAGGTCTACTGGTAATCTTTAGAGGTTTTTATTTAAGCCCCCTAGTTAGTAGCTATACAAATATTAAAAATAAAGTTCTATTTTCAGTCAACTAAATTTTAGAAAGTTGATTATCAATGTATTTAGGAAAATATAAAGAGAGAAGAAAATACCAAAACATAACAAAACAAAACAAAATTATTCAGTACAGTGCAATGATTGTGCTATATAGTTATTGTGCTAGTTATTGGAAATTTCCACGAAGTGTTTTCATTGATATTATTTGAATCAGTCAATCAGATATGTGTATATTATTGGTAGATGGTCTGAGATATCACTGAATATAATTCCATTAACACTGTTTTCAATTTATTTCAACATTATTTGTAAAGATATTGTCATTTATTGTAGCAGTATGTTGAGTAATTATTCTTGTTGGTTTCGTAATGAGGGGGAAAAATGATGATGTAAGAAGTTGCTCAACAAATCTATTAGAATAATTACAGGATTCATATTTCAGTTAATCAATATTGAAACCACCACGTAAGGATTACGAGAAGATCATTGTCTACCAAGTAAAATTATCTATCATTATAGAAAAGGCCTCCGACAACACCTACCGGGGAACGGGTATATAATATTATATGCCGCACAAGCCCGTCATTAAACAAAACACCACTACGACAAAGACTCGGATGGTTCTTGACGCCAGCGGTAAACCACAGCCAACATCGAACAGTATTAACGAATGTATGCATGTAACCAACCCCCCCCCCCCTTTACAACCAATGCTTTAGGACATACTGGTGCGAGCGCGGATGTCGCGATATTTATTGATAGGAGACATTGAGAAGGCATTCCTACAAATTGGTCTCAGTGAGGAAGATCAGGACGCTTTTCGCTTTATCTTCAACATCAATGGGAAGGATGAGTTGTTTCGGTTCGCACGAGTACCGTTCGGAGTCGAAACGAGTCCCTTCAGTATGTTGGGTGCGACTTTAGAACATATAGAAAACACATATGTCGATAATTTGATGATGAGTGGAGAGGAAATTCAAGACCTTAAGAAATTCAAAACAGAGGTCACAGAAATATTAGAGAGTGGGAGATTCCCAGTACACAAATGGGAGAGCAACATATCAAGCCTTGAGAGTGGAAACATGCCGAATTCGGGAAGAATATTAGGACATGTTTGGGGTAAGCTTTCACTTCGTAAGACTTATTCGAGCACGATTCGCATAACGGCATAGATCATCAGATTTGCGTACAACCTTCAGACCAAGAAGTGTCGGTTAAAGAAAAGCAGCGGTCCCCTAACGACAAAGGATTGCGAGTACTATGGCTGAGATAAGAAGTAAGTGGTGGATTCATCAGTAAGGGCGGAGTCATCCGAGGAGCGATATTGTTGCACAAAGGGAACCACATAGAGCGTCCGATCCAATTACTCTGTCCCTTAGAGATTCGAAGTCCACTACGTGAAACGGAAGTACACAACGCAAGCACTGAAGAAGTTGGGGAAACACGAGAAAACCGGAAGAAGAGGCAAGCTGCAAAAGATGCCGAACAAAGGATTAAGGAATGTTTACAGCAAGACGATGAGTATTAACATGCTCTTAATTTGAGATCTGGGACGTTCAAACATTTGATTGAACAGTAATAATAAATAATAATAATAAATAATAAACCACTTTATTAAATGAGGGTAGCACGTAACAGTTTTCACTGATAAACCTGTGGCCCTCTCTAAAAAAATTACAATCTAGATAATAGGTAAAATAGGTAAAAGTGAAACATACTTAATACATATATGACTATATGGAATTTAATAAGTACTTTTTTAAGCCAGTTTTAAAGCCAGTAATTGTTTCCTTTTTGCGTATCTCGACCGGAATACTGTTCCACAACTTTATGCTACTAATATAAAAGGTTCTCCCACCTTCCGTTTCCCTATTATAGCGTGGACATACTAGATTATAAAGACCATGCCTGTGTAATATGTAGTAAAAATAAAAAAAAACTGTTCATATTTTTAGGGGAGCGTGTGGTAAAGTGCTACAACCCTCCCAGACAAGGATAGATAACCCCCCGGCATGGGAGGTCATGTGACATTGTGAAGCGAACTAAAATCATGAACTATTTATAAAAAATATGCTAAAAATGACATTGAGTTGTGAGAATTTTGGCTTGAAACAAAAGTTCAGGTCATAAGTCATCAAACAGTTATCACATTGCCGTTTAATTTGGTTAATAAAAAGAGCAACTAAAAATATGCATAACTAGGGACGGTTTGATTGACAAAACTCCAAGGACCCACTAGTGTGGCTTATATTTATGCACCTTCGGGGGCACCTAATTTTTCCAAAAAGGCATTTTCCATCACAGCAAGGTCACTTTTGGTCTCTTTTATGGGAGCACATAATCCGCACTTCCAATATCCGCATTTCGAGAGTGAAGCCACGGATCTAATCACATGACTTGTGCTCAAGCCTTGTGGCAGTTTGGAGTTCTTGTTGGTTATTTCGCTGTTTTGGCATCGCACGGTTTTGGACATCTATTGCCAACATTTCGTCTATTCGATGTTTTTACATTCTTGTTATAACATTTGACGCGTCTTGGATTCAGATGTACTTCGTAGTTTCTCTCGGAGTTTACTAAAAGCTTGAAGTAAGAATTCTCAATTATATTGCAGCAGAGACAAGAGTGGCTGCCCTTCCATCGAAGCAATTCGACATTTACACGTTTTGATAGTACTCAGGGATTTGAAGAATTATATAAAAATGCCGGCCGTCAAAGGGGAAGGGATGCGCGGTCTGTCTGTTTTTATATCCGACATCAGGAATTGTAAGTATTTAATATATTAAAGCTATTACAAATGTGTATTTTTCACGTATCCTTCGCTGTTGTAGTATACTTCCTGTAGTATTTTATAATATAAATCAAAATAGAGGTCTTTATTTTTAATATTGAGCATATGTCGAGCGAGATTTCTTCATTTTCTCTTTAGGTAAATCAAGGGAGTCGGAACTTAAACGGATCAATAAGGAACTTGCAAATATAAGATCGAAATTTAAAGGTTGGTTCAGTTCGATTAGCCATGTTTTACGTAATAACGAGAAACGATAACCAATATGAGATTCTCTCAACATTCATGAAGCCTGAACAGCCAGAAATGTATTCTTTTATACTCATTTATTTTTTCATTATCCTTCCTTGCCATAATATTTGCATAGTGTATGTTATATAGATTTTCAATCTTATATTGACTTCGATATTTGATTCCATTTCTAGTAATGATCCTTTAATGTACACTAAATGCATATATGTGATGTATTTTGTTTTAAACTATCTTCCTCTGGCGTAAACTTGAAGGGTTCTGATCATTTTTGTTTTTCAAGTTCATGCTTCTACAAATCCCATGCACAAGTACTAAATATAATATATTGACAATTTTTACATCTTATGCCACCAGCTTGAATCTCTTTTGTTGAAAGATGGCCAGGCTCCAATTGCAGGCTTTCATAGCTAGAATCAAGTCATATCAAAGCATGAATAGACACAATGCTCATATAGTAAATTCATGGATACACAAGACTTCTATGACAGGCACACAATTTGTTTCACAACATTGGTTTGTCTAAATCCGGTCTCCTACCGAGAAAGTTCACTGTGAAGTTCTAGGTTTCAAACGGTTATGTTGCAAAACAGGTAGTCATGTCAAATCAAGTCTAGGGGCCCTCTTGTGTAACCAATATGTGAATTTGCCAGAATTCACAGATTTAAATCTTTACACTATGTCACGGTTCAGCCACACAGATAAATGTATTTTTGAAAATCAACCTAGAATAAAAAAGGAATAAACACTTTAACTGCATTTCGCTGTAAGAATCGAACTTGCTACCTATTTGGTATATAAAACCAAAATAGATCTACTATAACATTTTTAGGAGTGAAAGTTTGCATTTGTTCCAGGCAGGCAAAAAAAATTGCATGCAAGGGAATTCAAACATTTGTTCTTGCAGACATGACATGTACTGGATAACAAGAGTGTATATGTTAAATAGGCACATGTTTTTATCCACGACTTTATATTATATAATGAATTAGTCAAAACAAGTCATCACTAAATGCATTTTAATGAATTATTGCTGAGGCCACAGAAGTGAACATTGTACACATATGATTGCAGACAACATTATGAAACAATTTATAAATAAATGACATACAGACACTCTTGTAGACAATGCACATGCAGTCATTGTCTCCTTCATTAGTAAATTTTGCTCCAAATGCCCCAAGACTTAGCTAAAGGCAAACAATAGACCTTTTGCATTATAGACTACTTTTTTATTTATGCAAGATAATCCAATCCAAAATTAGTAAAAATGCAAAGTTTGGTTTGCACCATTTTGGACCTGAATGTGGTAACAATTTCTGTGTATTAAAGAAAAGTATACAAATTTGCAAACTTTGCTGGGCTCTGCAATTTTTGCATTTTACGACATTTCAAAACTTTGCGTTTTTACTAATATTGGTACGCTCTTTTCAGCTGTGGTGAATTGATTGGATTATCTTGCATAGATCAAAAGGTCAGCCTCGTACCCAACCGCTTTATTGGAAAACATAAAGGCTGCATTCAGCATAATATAGAGATCTGTGGCTGAGATGTGCGAGCGCGCAGGGGTGCTTGAGGAGGACGCGACAAATGAAGCTTCGCTCTCCCGTCGTGTCCTCCCCAAGCACCCCTGCGCGCTCGCACATTTTAGCCACAGATCTCTATATTACGCTGAATGCAGCCTTTATGTTTTCCAATAAAGCGCCTGGGTACGAGGCTGTCAAAAGGTAGTCTATAATGCAAGAGTAGTTATCTTGCAAATTGCAGAGGTATATGTTTGATTCCTGTATTTTTTTGCAAGCAGCTACACGTTTTGTCCTCTTTTTCATTTATATGGTAAAAACGACCAAATCAGCCCATTAAATTTCAGTATAGGCAGAGACTACTGGTATTTTAGAGTGTTTCAAGAACACTACATTAAAGTATATTGTCATTTACACATGCCTAGGACAAGAAATTCAGTTTCACAGCTTCATTCTTTACAAAAGATTTAATTTCAATTCAAAATATGACAGTTTTGACCATTTTGGCCACTTAAAGGAAAGCACCCTTAGTAATCTTATGTTTTCACTAAATCATCATATAATATTTGTTTTGAGGTGTTTCTATCCTTGTGTTTTCTCCCTTCAAATGCAATGAATATGCTAATCACTAGAAGATCTCATGCCTGTGGGAAAACTGGTGCCACAAATTTGCCTTCATATCTGTGTTGACTGAATTACAAAATGTGGTATTTCTTTAAAAAAAGGGAAAAAAAAATATATTTTGAATTTACTTCAGGTGATAAGCAGCTTGATGGTTATCAGAAGAAGAAGTATGTATGCAAGCTATTATTCATATTTCTGCTTGGACATGACATTGATTTTGGGCACATGGAGGCTGTCAACTTGTTGTCATCGAATAAGTACACAGAAAAACAAATAGTAAGTATTATAATTGTAGCCGTTCTGTATATAAATTAATATTCTGTTAACTATCTGGGGCCAGTTGTTCAAAAGCTGGTTAGTCTAACCCTGGGTTAAGGCAAATCTTTACATTACCTTTTTTAATCGCTTGTTTACAAAGTTGAATATCGGTTATTTTCTGGTCACACGTGTGACAATGCTATTCCATATTGTTACATGAAAAATATGAAGCCTGAAGAAACAGCAATATAACATGTGTGACCAGAGAATTGCCCATATCTTTTTTCATAAATATTTTCTTGACCAATAGAAGTCATAAACTTAAATGCTTGATTAAGATTTAACCTAGGGTTAGTGCTAACCTAGCCTTGAATAACTGGCTCTTGCAATCTGATTAGTTTGAGCTATCCATCATTTTGCCAGGTTTCAGTTTAGTTTCCTGATAGGTTTTGCGCTTGATAGTCAACAGCAAATACTTACAACAATACTGTGCTGTTTTTGGTCAGCATTGCAATTTTATTTCCTATAGTGTGATTGATATTAGCATATAAATTAGATTGTATTAAATTATTCATGATAAATGTGCAATGTGGTGAAAATATGTATAAAGCTTACCACCCAGTCTTTCCTTTTACATTATGTCAAACCCAGAAACCCACTGGTAGTATAAGCAAATAACTAATTGTAAAACAAACAAGGTATATTTCATTTCAAGCAATTTAGTGGAGAAGATGAATAATCATGTAATTGTTTTCAAAATATTTTTGATAGCCTTTTGCATGAAGGGTGTGTATCGCACTGCATGAGAGTCTCACAGTAATTCATTCATATTACTCCACTGAAAGTAAGCTAAGGCATTATACTATGGGTGTATATTTTATGAATTGGTATTGTTTTTATTGCAATGCCACACCAAACAGCTGCCCTTTTCCAACTCCTAGTTAACAATATGAATCACCTTGTCCTTGATTTTATTGACACATTGTTGTACTGAACGTACTAAATTAATTTTATTGCCTCGTAGGGTTACCTCTTCATCTCCGTTTTAATAAGTGCCAACAGTGACCTAATGCGTCTTATAATTCAAAACATCAAGAATGATTTAGCGAATCGTAATCCGGTACATGTCAATCTAGCATTGCAATGCATTGCAAATATTGGAAACACCGAAATGGTCGAGGCATTTAGTAGTGAAGTCCCCAAATTGATAATATCTGGAGAGACATCAGACAGCGTCAAACAGTGTGCAGCATTGTGCCTTTTGCATTTGTATCGCATCAAAAAAGACGTTCTCCATCAAGCTGACTGGACGTCAAGAATTGTGCAATTGTTAAATGATAAACATCTGGTATGGATTATTTTTATATGAATAAGTTTTTCTTATTTTAATCATTTCACTTTATGGTATGGATTTCGTTGAGTTTTCTATTCCGCACCATTTTTTATTGATTGGACAATGTACATGTTTGACTATATTAGCCTGTTATAACGATAAAAACTATACCTGTAAAGAGCATACTAAGTAAAGTGAAAAACAAATTCCGAAAATAAAAGACATGTTGAGCTTCAACATATATTTGTGAAACGCATGAATAATCAATCGTGAATTAGGTCACATTTAAATAGAATGGCTTTGGAAGAATGCCGGTGTCTTGTTTGATTTATTTATTGACGCTCAAGGTGTCTTCTATCCGTTTTCGGGATTGGTTTTTTACTTTACTTTTTTAAATGGGTGACTGGTCGTGGTTTTTGAGCATACTAAAATTGTAAATTTGGCCGCGAAATGTGGTAAGACGCGTAAAATACACTGGTAAAATATCGTCTTTCAAATTTGCATAGTAAAAATGTAAAGTCTGGTTGCAAAATGTCGAAATTATTGCCCGTGGAAATTATTACTATTTTCATTCTGAATGTGGTAGCAATTTCCGTGTGTGAGACAGAAGTATACAAATTTTGCCGGGTAATGTGTTTAATTAATGTTTAAACTTATTTTTTGTGTAGGGTGTGGTGACCTCTGCGACGAGTCTAATACATTCACTTGTTCAACGTAGTCCGGATGAATTTCAAGGATGTGTCCAAGTAGCTGTGGGGCGCCTAAGCAGAGTACGTATAACAAGCCATGCAAATTGTAACTTTACCATAGAGGAAATTCTCGGATATAAGATTATTTTTGCAGAACAAAATTAGCGTGCATTCAGACGGGTATGTCAAATTTGTCCAGATTCCTGAAATGTTTCATAACCACAAGCCACCTTAAGTAAAAAAATTAGTTTAATCCCCGAGTGGGCGCAGAGCGCTTTCGAGGGTACTAATTCCGTCATGGACGGTCGACGTTGGGCGGTTAAGGTTTTGTATGTTATGCGCATGCGCAAGTAACCACTGGTAATCAACAACGTTCTGATTGGCCAAGACAGAAAGTTTGTATTTCAATGAGAACGTCAGCAATTTAACTGTCATTTCGTAAACTCTTGTAAAAAGACGTATTCAAGACAGGAAACATTTCCGTATTTCTATACAGTTATAGAAACATGCATGGGAGTTTGGGAGAACGAGAAATAATCATTGGGAAAACGAACCCGTCAGTCAAATTTTTTCACGTTATTTCGAGTTCTCCCAAACTCCCAAAAGTGTTTCTATAACTATATAGAAACACAGGAAAAAAAATTTCTTTTATAATATAACTCAATAAAAAGATTTTGTACAAATATTATAATTCGATTCAATTACAAATTCTCATTACATTACTTACAAGTTCGGCGGGAAAAGTCCTGTGTTTCTATACAGTTTTAGTATACACCCGACTACTGTCTATTATAAATCCTACATTCTGATTGGCTACTCCACCATTGTCTATTCGTGGTGGTGAACGTTTGGGAAAAATTCGCTCGCGCGACCGTATAAAATTGAATTAATTAGATTATTTTTCGGTGTAATTGCGGTGTATCGATTATTTTCTCGAAATTAATATATCTAGGTACAGGGTGTATACAAAAAGCCTTCGTTGACCGATTCGCTCATAGACAACTCGGACTCGTTGTCAAATTGTTAAATAGAAACACGCTTCTCGACCAATCAGCACGCGCGTACTATAAATGTTATATTATAAAAAATATTATAAAGAAACACAAAGCGGTGTAAGAGAAATAATTCATAATCTGCAAGCTTATATAAGTATTTTCAAAGAGTACGCGTTTGCTTTGTTTATTTCGGATTTTGTTTCGCGGTAAGGATTTGTATAATTTCCTGAGGCTTTGTATGCTGTTTATTTGTTTCATTTTCAGCTTTGTATAATTTCAGCTTTTTATGCAAACGCATAAACCAACTGTGAAAGGCTATTACACCTTTGCTTTAACTTTAAAAAGTGTTTTTGGAAGTTTAATTTGAATGTTGATAACAAAAATAGACACTATAAGCATAAAACTTTTAGCCGTCGACTGCGTGCAATCACAGAATAAAATAACATTGAGGTTTTTTCTTTATCTCTGAAGATTTTGTACTGTTTTACTTTTAATCATTTGAAACTTCAATTTTAAAAATCATTTCTTAATTGCTGCTATAGCATAAATCCATTATGCATCAAAATTGAACAGCCAATGTTTACACTAGCCTTATGATTATTTCTGTATCGAATGATGTAAATATTAGCTATAATATACTCGGTATAATATAATATAGACTAATTTGAGTTTTGTGTCATTTCATAATATACGTTTAGGTCAGGTCAGCTCAGAAATTTATGTACTTGGTTTGAAATAGCGAGGGGTTGCTGCATGCATGTATTTCTTGCAATAGTTACGCAATGTTTTCACAAGTTAGAAGTTTTTAGTGAACCCTGAACCTGATGCACGCTATTTAAAACGATTAGTGTAAAATGTATGATTCAATAGCGTGTTTGAGATAAACTACATTAGCAGTTCGAAAATTTAACGTGTGCCATATTTCAGCTATCCTTGCAGGAACATTGTTTTGTTAGGCCAGAAACAGCAAAACAGCATGAATGCAAGAAAGGTTTTACTACGCAGTTTTTTAATTTCCATCTGTACGTCTTTAGATTGTGACAGCATCATACACAGATCTTCAGGACTACACGTACTATTTTGTACCAGCACCCTGGCTCTGTGTTAAACTTCTAAAATTATTACAACTTTATCCACCTCCAGGTGAGAATATTATTTTATGGACAAATTACTGAACAATTATGAATTATTTTAAATATTAATTCGTAATACCTGAGTCCTATATGCATCATCACTATCACTTCAAGATGCACGATTTATAGAACACACCATAAATACGAGTTTCGAAATATCACCTATTCGAACCGTCTTGGCCTTTTAGCTAACTTTTCAGTTTTCAGCTGTTGGGAATTTGACCTTTATTTACAGTAGTAGAACTAACCGGAAGTCGACATACTAATCTAATTAAAACTAACCAATTAGAAAGTAGTGCTTGCGTTGCGATTATATTTTGGATTTTTAATTTTTTTAAAAGAGAATTATGTGATGTTTTATGAAAATTGATCGTAGTTTAGCGATATTAAATGCTGATGAAAGTTTTTTCGTAGTTGATGATCCTGCAACATTAGGAAGATTAAATGAAGCTCTTGAAGCCATTCTTAATAAAGCACAGGTTGGTTGAAATTGCAAGTTAAATGTAATCTCATGGATTGAACTCGTGTAGTAGAGATTTACTAAATATATGTGGAATTATTACCAGACGTTTTAAAACTGTAGGTCGAACTTATTGGGAGGGGGTGTAAGCAGATCGGATCATTTCAGATCTTGTATAGTAAAAATGTTCCCCGGTCCAAGACTGTGGCGTGTATTTAGTACCTATATATTTAAATTACAAGTCGAGTCCGTTTTGCTCATAACAATGTGAGGTTTTCACATAAAATATTTCGCCCAAATTTCGAATGTTTCGAATTTTTCTCATCAAAAACACTAATAATATTCATTTAAATGCATAGCGAACCTAAATGTTGCTAAATATTTCAGACCTAGAGACTTTTCCTAGTCACTGATCTATAAATATAATTATATCACCATCCACTGATCTATAAATATCCAGCTAAGGGACTGCGGAGGACAGCACGTTGTAATTCAAAAAATGTAGAAGTTCAAAATGTAAACAAAGCGATTGCTTACATACGGATTTGACTTCCACTTTAATCATCATGCAGCCTTAATGTTAGCATGGATAATAAAATCCTAATGTCTTTTAACTATCCATGATGTTAGTACTCCCTTATTTAGTTGTATATATTCATAATTGTTCTAAGATATAAATCGCGTAACAGCATACCATCGCATACCAACGCTCTCAATTGTTCGACGAATAATAAAATTCTAAAGTATATCCCTTCTGCTAAGAACCTCTTTCAAATTCTTTGTTAATTCAGGAGCCACCGAAGTCGAAAAAAGTGCAGCATTCAAACGCCAAAAATGCAGTGTTATTCGAAGCCATCAGTTTGATCATTCACATGGACTGGTAAGATTATTCCGTAGTCCCTTATAGTGACCTTTTTGTGACAGAATTCTCTAATTTGGTGAGCTTTATTAGCCTCTTATTTCAGAGCTACGCTAGGGAGTTTAGTCTTGAATTATCAATTTTCATATAACGTTTCCAGAAATTGCATATAAGGGTAGATTTCCACTTACAGAGAAATAGTTCGCTCGCGAAATATTTGCATATTTTCTTTTGAATTGAGAACAGTCCTGTTGAACTAATTTATTTATGCTGTTAAAATTCTAAAGAAAATATACAAATATTTCGCTAGCAAACTATTTCTCTGTAATTGGAAAATGGAAATCCAGCCTTAGCAAAGAAAAGATTAGTGAATAATTATTATTAAAAACGATAAAGGTTAAACAATCTCCAGTGGTATTTTAAACTGTGTCAGCACCCTGCGCTTTTTTGAATGAGAACTTGAAGAATATGTAAAATATTGTAGTAGGGTTGATAGATTTCTATCTATATGTTACTCGCTATCTATACGCTTCTGGGTCCCAATAGAGTGCTTAGTCATTCAAACAATTACATTGTTATGGGTGATTTCAATAGTTTTCGTTTTTTTTGAGACGCCCTGTATATTACTCGCAAATTATGTTTCCACAGTATTTTCACTTTCCTTGATCTCTGACTTTAAATAATTAATCCTTACTCTTCCTTAAATTTAGTGTCGAGAATGCTGCCTCCTCGACACAATCCCAAAATTTGATATATTTAATAAAGTAACATGCAGCATCACACACAATGAACACGCACACTGGCCCTCAACTACGTACGCCCCTTGTCTTCGATTGAAAATAAACCCCATATGATTAATAATTAACGGTGCCATGCAGTCTGCCACAATACATACATCTATTTATAGTGAACCAAGTTTACTTATAAGGGCTTGCAACCAGCTTGGACAATTTTTAACCCACAAAGAGACCTTAATAAGGTAGGTTTACAGTGATTTGTTTTAGTGTGTGGGGTGTAACACAGGATGTTCACCACGTCATGTTTGTGCTTTAGATATTTAGCCTTGGAAGGACTCTGTGCGATGTCTCAGTCAGATTACTCGAGTGACGCTGTGAGAAAACATCAAGAAACGATTGTCAAGGCCTTGAAGGTCAGTAAATGTGTGCAAAGCCTCGTAATTTTTTTGTCATACACGGTAAGGCATGCATGGTATATACGATGAACTGTAGCCCCGTTTACACTACACTCAATTTATTGGCACCGCACTGCTAAAATGGATACCCGTGCCCCATTACATATTCGCTCTACCTTTGTTTTGGTAGCCTGAACACTATTAAAATTGGGTACGGGTACCAATTTTGTCCGTGCCGATAAATTGAAGCCCCGTTTACACTACACTCGATTTATTGGCACGGCACGGCTAAAATGGGTACCCGTGCCCATTTCATCCGTGCTCGGCCTTTGTTTTGGTAGCCTGAACACTAATAAAATTGGGTACGGGTACCAATTTTAGCCGTGCCGTGCCAATGAATTGACTGTAGTGTAAACGGGGCTTGAGTGTAATGTGAACGGGACCTGTAATAAAACCTGGAATGCTAACTTGGCCGCCATATTCGAAGCCAAATTTGAAGGTAGCTTTTAAGACAGACGTAGTCTCTACGTAATTTCCCGGAAAATAACTCAATAAAAAAATTTGTACAAATGTTATAATTCGATTCAATTACAAATTCTCATTACATCGCTTCTCTTGTCAAGTTCGGAAAATTCCTGTGTTTCTGTACAGACCAATCAGCACGCGCGTACTATAAGTGTTATATTATAATGTAATATATATTATCGACGCCAATTCGGAAATTTTTGGATCTGCGTTATAATGTTTTTGTAACTTTTATTTAGTGCATTTTTTCATACCGCATAATTTTCGTTAGTTTAATTTCTCCTTGTTTTAATTTTAGGATGAAAGGGATGTCAGTGTACGTCAACGCGCAGCTGATTTGCTATACGCTATGTGTGATAAAACGAATGCCGAAGAGATTGTTTCGGAAATGATAGAGTATTTAGAACACGCGGATTACTCCATACGAGAGGAAATGGTTAGCATTTAGTTATTTTATAATGGTTTGGGAAATGTTTTAGAGAACACACATTGATAATATCCGTCTCAAAATGGGCTAATAGACCTTTTCGATAATTACGTGACAACACTACTGTCTTAAATTTAGAGCCATCTTAAATGAGATGGATTTCAAGATTTACTCTCACAACTACTCTACGTGCAAAGATGCAAAAAACCTTCTTTAACACATGCATAAAGAATCATTTTTGTGAGATTGTGAGAGTGAATGCATCCATTTGCGTGCAATACATTTCATTTAAAGTGGTTCTAATTTTAAAACAGTAATGTTGTGATGTAATTATCGAAAATGTCTATTAGCAAGCAGTTTTTTTCATTGTTTCCCAAACTTTAGAAAACACCAATTCCATGGTGTGAGTAGTGGCTCAAAGTAGTACCGTCGCAATATCAGTTTCCGAAATCATGTAATATACACGTTTGTTGCATTTGAGGCTAGATAAGAGCCACTTCTATAACAGTCTAAAAAAGGTGTACACATACTTTCATGTAAGCGAATCCCTGCCACAAACGAGCCTATAAAGGTGGTTTTCCACCAGGCTGAATTTTTTGAAATTTTTCTCTCGATTTTCTTTTCATTTGTGACCGGTCAAAAGAATTCGCTACGGTCGAATACTTACAATTGAAAAGAAAATCAGGCGAAAAATTTCGTTCCGTGAAAAATTCGGTTTAGTGGAAAACTGCCCTTAAGAGGCACGTACCTTCAACAACATTCTCACACTCTTATATCAGAAGTCGTTCCAGGAGCTGAAAAATCGCTTCACTACCTTACGGAAAGCTGCGACGAGGCCTTGTTGCACTGCAATGAAAGCACTTGCGAGCTTTGCGCGAAAATTAAATTTAGTACCGAATTTTCCTCTTTATCTTCCGTACTAACTTGTAACCTATATAGGCATTCCGTACGTACTTATCAAGTTAGCTGGGACGAGCCTTGGGTTTTAACATTTTTATGTCGTGATTTAACAGGTTTTAAAGGTTGCTATTTTGGCCGAAAAGTATGCTACCGACTATGAATGGTATGTGGATACGATCCTTAGTTTGATAAGAGTCGCTGGAGACTATGTGAGCGAAGAAGTAAGTAATCCTGTTTCATTTGACTCAAAGCTTTATTCAAGCTAGTCATAGTAATGATGGTGCTATTGATCCGCCACATACTTGATATTTTGGCCCTGAAACCTATATCACAGAATACCTAACAGAAGTAGAACTCTATACTATTTTTTCGTAAGTGTGATTCGTCATGATTCGTCACTTAGCAAGTGCATTTTTTTGAGGTAGTCACCCCCTGCCAATGTCTAAAATCAACGCATATTTAGTATTGGCAGGGGGGTGACAGCCTCAAAAAAATGCACTTGCTAAGTGACGAATCATGACGAATCACACTTACGAAAAAAGTACAGGAGTTCTACTTCTGTTAGGTATTCTGTGCCTATATATTGCTGTCGTAGTAAGCGCAGTAATGGTCCATGCGGTTTGTAGGGAGGGGGGGGTTGCAGGCCAGCCGTAGGGTGGGGCAGATAGCAGCTTTAAGTGATATGAGAAATCATGATATTATGAATGTTTGTTGAAAAAATGTTAGGAACAAAAAAGTGTTACTTGGATTAAAAATCCTGAGCTCATAAGTACACCAAATAAGTACTAACCTTCTTACATGATTCATAAAATGTAATTTGAAACGTAAATTAACGATCCTCCTTCACCCTCAGTAAGTCCTTCCCTGAGTAAGTTAATCATCATTCTAATATACCTTTGACCAAACGCACAATGCCTGGCGCAATTGGATTATCCAAGTCGATTTAGGTGGTGTCATATATATTCATTTCAGCGATTCAGTAACCCAAATGACTTTTATAATAAACTACTGAAACTCATCTTGCGTTACGTAGGTAAAAGAGGAAATGCGTATTGAACCCTCTACATTCATGCACAAAATGGCGTTGTAATGTGCGATGTGCGTTTTTAGGTGTGGTTCCGCGTGATCCAAGTTGTTATCAACAGAGATGATATTCAAGGTTATGCTGCTAAGACTGTTTTTGAAGCGTTACAATCCCCCACTTGCCATGAAAATATGGTTCGGGTAGGCGGGTATATTCTTGGCGAATTTGGAAATCTTATCGCTGGAGATCACAGGTCAAGGTAAAGTTACTAAAGTATACCGTGCGTCAATCTGCGATGCTTCTTACTTCGTCAGTATAGATATGCAATCTTGGTTAAAACTGTGGTAACGATTGTTTCGTTTAGTATAGAATTAGGTATACATACACGCAACTCTCTTCGCAAATCTAATACTAAGATGTATACTTTGTGTTCGTTTTAAAAACTGGAACATTAAAATATTTTTAACCTCTATATTTTTTAGTCCGATGGTGCAATTTAATTTGCTGCACAGCAAATTTCCATTGTGCTCCTCGTCTACGCGAGGTCTTCTTTTATCGACGTATGTAAAATTCATTAACCTTTTCCCCGAAATCAAACAGCAAATTCAAGAGGTATGTGAATAAAATATCATGCATGGACCATAAAAAACGTCACATTTTCTTTAAAAGCTTGTTTCGATTAGACCCGCTTTGCCTCAGCGCTCTACATGCATATCGTGATTTTATATCTGATATTCAAATAAAAGCATCGAATATTTTCATGACGATTCTCTGCATCAGACATTTGTGTCCTTCAGCTCACTCCACGTCGCCTGTATATACTAACCTAGCCCAGGATTATTTGTGATTCGACCAATAACCACTGTAGCAACAAAAGCACTAAAGACACCTAAGTTGGTCTTCTACCGGCCTTGTTGATAAAATAGGCGTATCTTCAAACCCATAAAAAAATTTCCCGTTCTTGCTCCATGGTCCATGCATGGTTGAATCATAGTTAATAAAGCTCCGTGGTTCGATCGCTTATCACAACCAGCTCGAAAGCTTATGCTCCTCTGGTTGCCGTTCACTAATAACTTGATTCAAACTGACAATCTTAAATGTGTGTAATCCAAATTTTTGTATATTTATATCCTTATTTTGTAAATTTCGCTAAACAGTGACGAATAAAAATTGATTGATTGATTGATTGATTGATTGATTGATTGATTGATTGATTGATTGATTGAAATATAAAAGCTGCAAGGAAAAAGGCCAAATGAAGCTCTTCAAATCTAAAGGATTGCGTTGAAATTTGTCAATACGACAATAGATCTACTGTAGGCAACGTTAGTTATAGCAGCCAACGAGCTTTCGGATTTTAGGAATAGCACAATTGCTTGAGAATTGTCTGGGATCATCTAAGAATGATGAGACGTTTACCGGTATACAGACGTCCTTTGTTTTGTCAGCAATTTCAAGACTGATTTTAGTATTGAACCACAAAATAATTGGGACCAGTTTTTCGGGCAAATTAACTTGAACTTTAATAATCTACGTTATACAATGTTCATGGAACAATTGAAACTTTAAACAATAAATCTTTTTCCCTTTCTTTCTGTTACAGATTCTTCAACAAAGCAGCAATTTACGCAGCAGTGATGCCGAAATTCAACAGCGAGCTTTGGAGTATTTCCAGCTGAGCTCTATTGCAACCCAGGACGTATTGGTAAAATAAAATTTAAATACTCGAAATAATTACGTGAACAAACTCCTTTAATCTACGTGAACATTGCGTATACTTTTATATATTCCAAGCTAATGCCGGTTTCTTATTGATACAAAGCACATCGGGTAATTCTTATATCGCGATATTTATTACAGTCGTGCCAATAGAAGCGTTCCGAAAAATGTTGACCAGTTCATTTCCCAGCTTGAAGGAACACATCTGAGCAATTCCTCAACAATTGGAAAAGTTCCTTAAAAAGTTCCTAACTTCCTGTTTCATTGACCAATCAGATTGCTCAAAAATATAAAATTTGAGATTTCCGTCCGTATATATATATATATATATATATATATATATATATATATATATATATATATATATATACACCCGTTTGCAAAAACGTTGGCCGCAGATAGATATATAGATAGATACCCGAAATCTAATTAGAATTGCATATGTTGTGTAATATTATAGAAATCCCATGCAAATGCATTCATATGCAATTCTAATTAGACTTCGAGTATCTATCTATCTGCGGCCAACGTTTTTGCAAATGGGTGTATATATATATATATATATATATATATATATATATATATATATATATATATTGTCTAAAATCCCAGCAAACATACTATCAAGCATGCAATGAAGTAGACTAAATATGTTGGCTATATCATATGTAGCTGTAACAACACTGGTTTGTATATTTTCCCAAGGTAATTATCTTTTTCCATATTTAAAGGCAACTGTTCTGGAGGAAATGCCACCATTTCCTGAGCGGGAGAGCTCTCTTTTAGCAAAATTAAAGAAAAAGAAAGCGCTTGCAGCAGGTATTCCCGAGGAAGAGGAGGCAGAGGCAAACAAACCAACAATAAACGGCCATGTCAGTCCAGAGCCGGTTACCACACCTGCGCCGGCAACAGAACCCACGGCCGCGATTCCAGCACTTATTTACAATCAAAGTCCTCAACCAGCGGTGCAAAATAACGCTAGTGCTGGTTTGCTGGTTGATGTATTTGAAACAAGCTCGAGTACAGTCCACAGTAGCGCACCGACCACATTGTCCCCAGGTGCCGAGGGTAATCTTAAGAAGTAAGTTGAATTTTGCTTGCATGCCATTAAACCAATTAAGCCTGGTTTCCATATAATAAGGCAGTACTCCTGAGGCATCTAAGTTGACAAATACGAACATTTCTTACGATCTGCCAGGTTTTCTTAGCATTTTAAACACTCTTTACTAATTAACATCCCTCAAAGTGATAATTGCGTTGCAAGGAAAATTGCATAGTGTAACACCACCTTAACTCGTAATTGTCGTAGTCATTTTCACCGATGAGAAATAGTTCGCGTCATTGTTGACTGCACACGCATAGAAATATTCTATCACATCAGCCACTTTGACATGTTGACCATTACGATTAAATAGAAACCAGGGGCTGGTTGTACGAAGGCTGGATAGCGCTATCCACCGGATAGTGATTTTTTCAACCGTTCTAAAAATGCTCGAAAAGCGATAGAATTTCATCTTTGGAACCAACAAATATTAAAAAAGATCCTCGATTTAGGAATATGAAGATTTGATAAAAGTTATTGCAAACAACGGGCGATTTTAAGACGATTGAAAAAAACACGTTGGAATTCGGGTGGAATGCGCTATCCGGCTCTCATACAACCGGCCCAGTCATTACTTGCCTTGACTTTCAATACTATATAATGAGTGCGGATGTGATGTGGATAGATGTGATTCCTCACGGCGTAGCGCCACATTTTTATTATGGCAAATTGTTTACATATATGGTGCATGGTACTGAATACAACATGCAATATGGTATATATGGTACTGTATACAACATGGAAATCAATATATTACATGGTACTGTATAAAACATGCAATATGGTATATGGTACTGTATACAACATGAAATATGCATATATCACTGTGCAAGCTTTAATCTCTCTGCTTACAGGTTCGTGTGTAAGAATACGGGTGTGGTTTTCGAAAATGACATTCTCCAGATTGGATTAAAATCGGAATATAAGGATTACTTTGGTAGGTCTTTATGTTGTATCACACGTCGTTATCTATTTAAATAATCTGTTTATACAATGGTTTTCAGTGGCTCTTAATAAAGGCTGGTATTTTTCATACGCACGTAAACGCTCGTAAAGGCTGCTTTCCACTTACGCGTTTTTTATACGCACGTACACGTACGGATAATTTTAGATTTTTTTTTATTTATTTTTTTTTTTAAATATAATTTTAGATGCTTTTAAATTCTTATTTTTTAACATCTAGGTCAACTAATGCATACTAAAATATGCAGAAAACTAATTCCCTTCGATTCATTCACTTAGTTTTTTCAAAGGTAACATGTATAAGGATTTAGACTTTCACGTGCGTGTACGTGCGTATGAAAAACGCGTAAGTGGAAAACAGCCTTAAAAGTCTAAATCCTTATACATGTTACCTAAGTGGATAAGTCGAAGTAACTTAGTTTTCTGCATATTTTAGTATGCATTAGTTGACCCAGATGTTAAATAATAAAAATTTAAAAGCATTTAAAATTTTCCGTACGTGTACGTGCGTATAAAAAACGCGTAAGTGGAAAACAGCCTTGAGTCAATAGACCTTTCCGCGTGGGTTTTGTGTGGAAAGATGTGATTGGCTAATTTGCAGCGCGGGAAAAAGTTCAGACAAGCAAAACATTGAAAACAATATGTTTCACAAGCCTAACAATGGATATCACAAGAATAACAGATGAAACCTTGGACAATATGAATGTGTATAATCTGAGAAACGTACTCCTAGACAGATGAATAACTGCAGCGAACTACCAAAAGGCAGATTTGGTTGTGTTTGCAAAAGCAGGCCTAAAAATGAAGCCTCTCAACCAATGTTGATTTCACAAAGATTGCAATTTAAAGGCAAAATACTACCTGATCCTTTCAGTTTAGAAGCGGCAGAAATGTCTGGACGCCTTGAAAATAGTCCAACTTTTGGCATCGCGGATATATTCAACTTTTTGATATTTAAATCAAGCGCATACGACAGACACAAAATGGCTTCCTACAAAGCGTTTGGGAACTAAGAAGGACACTTTGTTTTTGTTGGGAAAGTAAAACCAACTAGGGAATCCGTAACCAATGAGTACCAGGAATTATACAAAGTTTGGTTAGTCATTGACAGTGACCCTGAAGGCGCTGGTTCAGCTAATGTAAAATGAAGACCAACTCCAGGGTCTGTTTTTTCTCCATACTGCCTTTTTCCTGTTTTTCCTGTGTTCAAGATGGCGCCTGTAAACATGTAGCCGCTTGTTTGTATTCTCTTCATGACTGTCTATATCCCTCATCAGGTCCTACGGACAGGCTTTGACATTAGTTTACACTTCGACTCTCCGACGTTTTGCGACAACCAATCACATCCTTTCAAATCTTTCCACGCAAAACCCACGCTCCGCGTGCGGAAAGGTCTATTATACTTGTTCTCAATTTTGACAAATTTTAAGGTGCTTCACAAAATCATCATTTTTGGTGTTCGTGCATGGCTATATTTTCTCCTTCTTATATGAGTCAATTGTGTATAATAAGACTTGGACACAAACTCAAAATATCAAATCTCTCGAACTAATTAGCAATTGATCGTCAACAAGTAATTTTCGTTCGTTTTCACTTGTCCGCATGTTTCAGTTTTAACGTGTTATTATGTCTGAAATTCCACTAGCGAATTATTTTTTAATGGTGTTTTAAATATAAAAAAAATTAATGTGCGAATCAATTCCTTTTAAAATTGAAGTCCAGCCCGTTCCGCGCATCGGTTCTGCCCGTAGCAATGCGCCCGTAGCAATGCGAAGGCCCTTTGTTGAGGCTCTTCTCTTAATTTCCCATATTTTTTTTTCTGAAAATGAACTCTAGTTCGTACTATTTAGAAGCGTGGCTAACCTGAGATATTTAGACATCGTGTTTTAAAATTAAGCAAGCAAGTTCAAAATGTAAAAAACTTATATGTTTATTATATGTGTATAAACGGACTTGACTTTAAAGAAGATTGTCATCCCAAGTACACTGTATATGTATTTCTCAAAAATACTCAGTTGCAGTAGAAATACTGAAAAAAGTTTAAGTTCTCTATCATGAACATGCACTAAGAACTAAAAATTACATTTGAGATTGGTAAACAAGAGTTTGTGATATCAACGTTGCAGCAAGAACCTTAAAGTTTAAATGTCCAGCCATCTTGATGTATGCGTTTCAATTTTAGGTCGGCTGGGTTTATTTTATGGTAACAAAACGTCGTCACAGTTTGCAGGTTGGCGAACAACTTTACATCTTCCTGGTGAACTTACAGATAATATCCTTTTAATAGTGTTTATAGGTAAATTAATTACTTTATTTACTTACTACCATCGAACAACACTATATATTATTTATGCTGTTTATTACCATTTTTTTTTAATACCTCACGCTCAAAATAGCCCGTATTTATTAATCGCTCGTATTTTTATGTCATTGTCTTAGAGGAGTATAGGAAGGAAAGTAGCATGCTTTTTCGGTAGTGAATTTCATGTCCAGAATCCACGAATATAACCTCAACTTTTATCCAAACCCTGACCCTATTTATCCAGCGTTTGGATAAAATTAGGACTATATTCGTGGATTCTGAACATAAAATTATTTACCGCTTTTTCAGCCAGCCATTTTCAATTATTCGTGAGTTTTTCACATTCCTTATTCAAGTTCAAGAATGAAGTCGAGGATATGATTTTGGTCGTTACCGTCGCTGAGAAAAATCATATTCAGTTAATCATTTCTATTTTATATTATGTCTTCCCTGATCGGAATAACTGTTATTCTGGGCGTTATCATTAGCCAGAAAAAGATTTTTGCAAAAATAATGTAGAAAAGGCAGCAACTGCATTCAAGTGCGAAATTTTCTTAACAATGTGTTACAACTAAAAGTTGAACTAAAGCCGGTGGCTCAAACAGTGGAGGGAGGCGCTCAAATACAACAACAAGTCAGTGTGGAATGTGACAATGACTTTATAGAACAACCCATATTGGATATAAACTTCACGTAAGTAGTAATGATTTACCATCGGTTACGTAATGATGTTGAAACAAATCTGAAATTTTGTAATGGTTTAGCCACAAAATCGCGTAAAACGTGCCGCACTGGTGTGCGTCGCTTTCTGGCGCCTAATTTGAACATGACGCTTTCAAATTAAATTGAGCACGATGCACTATACCTTACCTCCAGAGGTGGTATTGAACAAGGGCACTGCGCTCAGCATGTTTTACGAACAAGTTTTGACTTTGGGCACCGGTGCCATGCAGGCACTCAGTCTAAACCCAGCCTTAAGGCGTTGTTACACTATGCAATTTTCCTTGCAACTTGCAATGCAGGTACCATTTTGAGAGATGTTAATTTGTATAGAATGTCTGAAATGCTGAGAAAATGTGAGCAGTTCGTATTTCACAACTTTAGATGCCTCAGGAGTAGAATTGCATTGCAAGTTGCAAGGGAAATTGCGTAGTGTAACAGCGCCTTAAGAATTCCACGCTTCGTTAAATCTGGGGTGGGGACTGGGCACATGTGAACAGCCCCTTTAATTTCCTGCCTAATTATAAGGATATCTTTTTTTTAGGGTAAATGGAATAAATCAGAGAATAACATTAAAATTACCAGTCTTTCTTAACAAGTTTTTCAAACCGTCAGTCATGGCTGCTCAAGATTTCTTCTCTCGTTGGAAACAATTATCAAAGTAAGTATTGGATATGAAGTGCGTGCTATAGCCATTATTAATTACTCCGCATTATTACGCATATTATTAATTACTCCGGCGCCAGCAACGGAGTTAAAAATTCGCCCCGGTTTTGTTTTTTTTTTTTATTTTTCGTCGTCGCAAGTCTGAAATGGCGCGAAATATTCTAGTATTTAAAATGTGTATGTAACCGTATTTATCTACGTCCCAGTCTTATCTCCCAAGAGTTGTGGTGCACAGCTTTGGCTAATTTTCCGATGCTGGATTCGATTTCACTCGCATGATACGGCAATACCTCCAGAGAGGAACAAATAAACCATTAATTCTTTTCATCCTGTTCGATTAAGTTTAGATTGAATTCGGGAAAGAATATATTTAATACATGTAGATTCTGGCCCTATTTTAATAATATCGCTGCTATTTCGCCGTTTAACAAGATGATGTGGTCGTGTATGGGCGCGTTGACATGTCGCAGTTTGCACAGAATTGAAAATTTAATAACTATATAAGCGCGAATTCCAAAGGCAAAGTGTAAGACAAAGCAAATGTATCATGCGGCTTATTTTTCTTAAAAACAAGAGCGTATATACTTGACATGAAATCTTGGGGGGGGGGTGCTTTTTGAACGGGAAATATAGCGAGATTTGGGCATGCCTATCGATTCAAGAAAAAGATTAAATTTTTGGATCCCCTAATATACTTCTAATAATAGACTCAACTGTCCACTAACAGAACCATAACAGCCCAGAAATACGTAAATGTTTTGCATTTGCAATAATAATAAAGATATAATAATAATATAACTTTTTTCTTACAGCCCAGGTCAAGAGTCGCAGAGTGTGTTTCAAGCAGCATTTCCAATGGATTCTGAAACGGTTAAAACAAAGGTAATTTATTGATATACACAAAAAAAGAACTATACGGGACAATTTTCGCTAATCTAGATATTTATGGCGTGCCACATTGCTCCATTCTTCAAAATTATATTTCTACTCTATTACACCGCCAAAGAAGGCTTTCCAATAATTTTCGTAATATCTATATTTAGAGTTTTATTTAGCAACATAGGTAGTTTATTAGTGCAACTCCTACTATTCACTGCATGGTGGTTAATTGTGTTGTAATACATGACCTTCAGGATTTTTCATTCGCACTCTTTTTCTTTAAATTCTTGCAAATAATTTCAGCGCCTTACACTACCATTTTGTTTCTTCATTTGGGGGTCAAGTTTAGCTATTTGTCTTTAGGATAGCTCCTCTCCCAGGCTTCTAATGAGTTACATTGTGCGCAGTTAATAGAATATACATGGTTTGGAGCCCACATAAAACAACAATACAACTCATTAACTATGTTGAGGTAGATCTATGCAAAAAATTGTTCTTTTCTCATCACATGTCTATTGTATTTTACACAGATAAACCAATGGCAATCCTATAATTAACATATTTTTCAAGTTAAGGTTGAGGAGCTTAGTAAGGCGAATGCCATTGGTAAATTTGGCTAAAATACAATAGACACGTGACGAGAAAGGAACCATTTTTTGCATAAACCTGAACAATAACATAGTTAATGAGTTGTGTTGTACTTTTATTTAGTCTCCAAACCATGTATTATCTATTAACTGTGCATTGTGTTTCCCACTATCAAAGATGCTACCGACCCACTACAGAATTTACATGCGCATTTTAATCATTTCCAAAGGCGGGCAGGGGGGAGCATTTCATCCAAGCTCTTTTGGGTCGCAAAAATGTTGCTATTGTGTTGCCAAAATGTTATTATGTCCAGTGTCTGGTTAAAACATAACAAGGGCGTTGTTTTTTCCCTTTCCGTTGCCTGATCTTTTTGTAGTATTGCTGCTTGCGTGGTATATTACAGACTAGGTGTGCCTTAAAATGGCAATCAGGCGATCAACAAGTTTCTTTCTCTTTACAGTATAATAACTTCAGCTTCATTGTTAAAACCGATAATTCGGAATCTAAATTCCTAAAGTATTCGACCCCCCCGTGTGTTCGATTTATTATCTACTTCGGCGAATTAGAAGTAATATAAAACATACAGTTTGAAGCACAAAGATTGTCTTAAGCAAATCGATACGTCACAGTGACAGTGAAAATTCATCCGTTAAGATATTCATAAGATTGTCAAATTGTAACTTTCTATCGTATCTTTTTGTAGCTTATTGGATTTGGATGTGGTGTATTAGAAAATGTTGACCCGAATCCGGATAACTATGTTTGCGCTGGTATAATAGGAACTAAAGCGACCCAGGTTGGCGTTCTTATTCGATTGGAACCAAATTCGTCTTCGCAGGTACGTCTCGTAAAATATGTTAGGTGAAAGTGACACTTTCGAAAACAACCGTGCTTGCATGTGAGAAGTGCGAATAGATGCTGCATGGAATAGTTATACCTTAGGTAGGTATAGAGGTAGAAGAGCGACGCTATCCTGGAGTTCCTGTTTACCGCAATGCATGTTGGGTGACGCAGGATAATTGACCTTTATGGAGAACCTGTAATCAGAAATGTGAGCGAGAAGAGTTTGAAACAGGGATAAAACGTCAAGTTTTCAATTTTTTTAGGCCTGGGAAAAGATCATGATTATCAACATGTGTGTTTGCAGTTTGTCTGTTTAGCTTGAGGCATATTTTAAAATATGTCGAAATATTTAGTATAATCAGCCACCTTGAGGTGAAATTTGCAACCCATCAAACCAGATCGCTTTCCTTAATATTTTTACTAATATTTTTAAAAAATTCTTTTTCACATGCGCATGGTATATCCAACTACACTAAACAATGTTTTCGGTGAAAAGAATAATAACGATGATTTGACATTTTATCTGCCAGTTTCTGTATAAGTGATTATATCACGCTTCGTTAACTCTCGGGCTCGTGTGAACTGCTCCTAAATGTAATTGTTTTCACTTATTCTTTTTAGATGTATCGTCTTACTATCCGTACACCAAAACCAGCAGTCTCGTCTCATCTTTGTGAAATATTGAACAGTCAATTGTAATGAACATCAATTTTAGTACTTTAATAAGAATGACTGATTGCATTTTACGAAACAGACGTCGCGAGTTCCTGGTTTCCTAGAGCTAGCCCGACGAATTTTTATAAATACATTTTAATATGGCTTATAGATAGAAAATCTAATAATTTGATGATAATGATCTCAATCATAATGCCCAATATTATCTATGATAGTGTCATAGTAATTGATATATACATCATCCATTTGGTTAAAAAATGCTCAATATTATTCTGTGTTTATTAGATAACTCTGTCTCTGATTTTGTGTAACGAACCAGGTCGCCAATCATGAATAATAAAGTATCACTACTTGGTGTGGTTAGTTTTATACTTCATAGGGCAAATCACGAGTCTCCAGTGGCGTAGCCAGAACGATAATTGGGGGGGCCCATATTCATATATTCGTGATACGCAGGTTTAATTTCTTTTCAAATCAATTGTCTTTACAGTCTGTTAACATGAATATATGAATATGGGCCCCCCTAATTATCGATGCTGGCTACGCCACTGCGAGTCTCCTGCGATTATACACCATGTAAGTATTTAATACAGCAAAGCTTTTGGTCCGTTAACCCGGGCCTTCATCAGTGCGATTACCTGAACACAAATTTACACCTCACTTAAATATCACGTTAGTCCTTATTTGTTAACTCGCGCCATTAATTAAACGGTTCACTTACCAAAAATAGTTCTAATTAATGCGCGTGTCCAAGACAAGTATTTAGCAGGGCGCTTACATAGTATACTATATAGTATACTAGGTATTTAGCTAGCAGACATTGAAAAGAGCACGCCACGTACTACTGAGTGGCTTACCCTCTTGTGCAATAGTTTGATGTTTATATAGACTTCACTAGATTCTCTCATTTTACGAGAGACGGTATACTTATCATTCGCTAAAATGCTTGCATCTTTCCATTTAATGCGGTGATCATAAGTCCACGCATGGTGAGTTAGAGCAGACCTATCCAGTTTATCTTTCTCGCAGTTCGTCTAATGTTCTTTTAGACATATATTGAGAGATTTCTACCGGTCTCTCCAATGTAAACCAAACCACATTCACATGAAATGCGGTACACAGCAGGTTTCTGATGTTCATCGACGTCATCCTTGTGCGTGTAAAGAGCGCGAAACAATTTGTTATTGCTTAAATGGTAAACTCATATTCCAACTGCTTTTAAAATCCTAACGATTTTATACGAAGCTGGACCAATATATGGTAAACAGACAGAGGATAGATTTTCAGTGCATGTCTTGTTTATGTCTTTGCTGTTTCTTCATAGCATGATCTATGAATTTCTTAGGAAGACTATTCATCTGTGGGACACTCTTCAAATGCTTTCACTCTGCATGAGTCAATGCTATCTGTAAGCCATGAGATATCTGTCAGTGTGTGTTGGTTTTCTATTATCATTTATAGACCTGGAGCGAGGGGAATTCGACGAAATATTACCCCCAAAGGAAGATATATCCCGAGGGCTTCGCCCGAGGGATATATCTTCCCGAGGGGGTAATATTTCGTCGAATTCCCCGAGCGGAAGGTCTATAAATTATATATTATATCGAAACAACGTGTAGGCAGCGCAAAAGCTGGGTGAAATGACTTCTTTTGCCTCCATTTTGAAATTGTTGACAACCTCGAGTCGTGTGCGAGGCATCCACGCGTGGTACACGCAAACTCGAATTGCAGCGGGGTATTCGACTTTTATAGCATAATGTGAAAAAATTCGATGGAATTCCATGATTAATTTACTGATCACGTGGTACAAATCGAGCTTTCTGATTGGATGATTTACAGTTGAGATATAATATTAAACTTTATACCCAAAGTCCTTTCCTTTTTTATATAAAACAAGACGCCGGCTTAGGCGTACACTCGTGCTCTAGGGATTGTGTTTTAGGGATTTAATAGCATTACTTGAGGGACACAATCATGGCGTGTTGTGGGAACCTATAGCGTAAGTTAAGGCTTTATGGTTACCCTAGGCCTGGGAGGACTTACACGACAAAAATGTATCACACAAGTATAAAATAATACATTATTATCACAATTCACAAATGCCGATTATAGGTAGCCTATAAACAATCCGCACGGCGTGACATATTACTGTGTCAATGCTTCTATTATATATTGACTGTAGACTGCAGTGTTTTAGTTCCGACGAAAGCTTTCAAAAATCTAGTTGTAATAGTATTGATTCGCATTGTTCGTAATGTCAGTCGACGGTTCAAACATTTAGGTATTAATAAGTGTGATATATAAGCATTTGTAGGTCTAAAACTGCGAAAACATCGATCATATATCTTGCTTTCATATAGGAATTTAAAAATATACATCGCACCATGGAATATGCATTAAATGTTGCACCGTAGTAATGTCTTCTGTGCATATATATTTTGCATCCTTCGTATTGTTTGTAAAATGTGGTTTGTATTGTCGGATAATTATATCTCGTAATATACATCGCGCACCGTAGTAATGTCTTCTGTGCAATATATTTTGCCGTATTGTTTGTAAAAGTGGCTTGTATCCTTCGTATTGCTTGTAAAATGTGGTTTGTATTGTCGGATAATTATATCTCGTAATATACATCGCGCACCGTAGTAATGTCTTCTGTGCAATATATTTTGCCGTATTGTTTGTAAAAGTGGCTTGTATTGTCGAATAATTACATTTCGTCATACATTATTGGGTCAAGTGCGCAATGCATTCTGGGTCATCGAGGTCCAAAACGCGACCGACACACGACGAAACCTAGACTCGTGCCCTCCTAGAGCACGAGTAATAAGATATCTAAGAAAGATATAGAGTTATCTATCTGTACTTCTAATGTGAATTTAATTGAAGGGTGCATGTATACCATTAATGTGATCTAAAAATTTATTCAAATTTTCTATACCATGCGACCAACTACTTGATGTGTCATCTACATATATATCTAAACCATGCAGAAACCAGGTTTTAAACATGCTGTAGCTAGAGCTTTCTTTTCAAATTCTTCCATGAATAAATTGGCCATGAATAACTGGTGATAAAGGACTACCATTAGAGCATCATGTGTTTGCTCGTACTGAAAACTAGTTGAATTCAAGCACAATTTCAGTAATTCATATATACTTTCGGGAGAAAGGCTAGACTTTTTAGAGAGCGTATCATCTGAAAGCAGCCTGTTACACGCCTCATCTATCGGCACATTGGTAAATAAACTAACTACGTCGAGACTGACAAGAATTTCATAAAATGCAACAAACTCTTTAGAATTAAGTACATGGTGTTCAGTTAAACCAAAATTCTAGCAAGATATTTTGCTAGATTATAAGTCGGTGAACCTTGAGATGCGACTATAGGCCTCAGGGGTACATCTGAATTATGTATTTTGGGTGAACCATAAAATTTTTAGGACACACACTACATGAAGGTCTCAAGTAATCATGAAGCTTTTAGTTTGTTGATATACAATATTATTCATAAAGCTGGTTTTCCACTAGCGATATTCTTCGCGCGAAGCGACTTTATTCCTTAATTTGTATTTGAGCAATTTGTTCCAGATGGTTGCAGTTGAGAGCTCTGAAACAAAAGTAAAATGTCGCTTCGCGCGAAAAAGATCGCTAGTGGAAAACCGGCTTAAGACACTTGTTTTCTAACGGACATTGATCAGCATTTTTGCAGTTGCATTACTTTTAGTTCCGGTTATTCCTTTCTTCAGTCCGATCTTTTCGCAAAGCGTGTTTGTTATGTTTCGAAATCATGCTTTTCACGTTGTTTAGACAGCAGTATAGCTAACGTTAACGGGATGCGGCAACGAGCCGCGAATTTTCAGTTTTCAGAAGCAGATATAAATTAATTTCTGGAAGCAAAATTTGGAATCTATGTACGCTAGAGCAGTCAAAATGTATTATCGTTATGTAGTCTACAAGAATATTATGATAGTTTAAAATTTATTTGCTTTTGGAAAATCAAAAACTTTAAAAAATCGCGCCGCGTTGCCAAATCGCGTCCCGTCGGTGTTGGCCTTTACGGTTAAAAATTTTGTGAAGGGTGGATTTTGGAGGAAAATGTTTATCGATTAGCTTAAAGAAATCTTTTCCAACATTCGTAGGTAGGTTTTTACTGAATGGAGGGTTAAACCAGATGATGTTTCTACCTCCCTTGCATCCTTTTTGTGTTGATAATGGTGCATATGCATGATATGGTTGTATTGATTCTTTGTGGTGACGAATTGTTTGTTTAGTTGCTTTGTTTCAGAGCTTTGTTGTAGATAGCGACAACCGAGTTGAATGCTTGTTGGTTGCATGGATGACAGCGATGAAATCCTTCGACTGATCACTGATGGATGAAGGTAGTTGTTTGGAATACACATGAGATGATTTGACTTTTTATGGATGTACAGCGGGTCGTTGTTTGGTTTTCAGAAGGGCTTGAAACACTCAGTTTTGAGCTCAGTTCAGGGTAACGTCGAGAAAATTAACGATTTGGTGCTTGACTTCGAGATGTGATTTTAAGTCCGAACTCTTGGAAAGCCGCGCAGAAATCTTCCGTCGTTTCTGTATAATCCGATATTATTCTTCCTGAATTTCTAATTGGGGGAATTTAGTGCAAAAATACCAACTATGATTCGCAAATTTCTGCACCGTCATAACTGACCATGCACGGTAACGTCAAATGTTGAGTTGCTATTTCTTTTTATCCATGGCTTGTGTTCATTGAATAGGACGGATTTGCGAGCATGCTTAATGATGTTGATATTTTCGTCAGAAATATGGACCTTAGTTTTGGCCCATGAGATGGGTAAAAGTGAACAACATCAAAGGAAACAAAACTATACCTAGATTTATGTACGATGTTATTGAACAAATTAATGACTGCTTGTGAATTTTTTTCATTAAATAACTGTTTTAGTATATATACTTATTATTTATATAGTCATATAGATTTATTTGATACAAGAGACGACCGATTACTACGCTTCTATTGATGTCCACAATTAACTCCTAAATTTACATGTTTATTCAAACGACCCGAAATAGTTTCCCCGCTGCTCATTGGCCTGCACAAAATCTTTAGCAATCGTTGTAAAGATGTATCTTTAATACTAAAATCTTCTCTATTGTCTTACGTTATTCATGCACATGCGTGTCTCTATTGTTCTCCGCTTCCCGCCTTATTCTAATTACCTAGTTACTTATTAACTCAACATTACAATCGTGGTGGTACAGACATCGTCAATTCTGTTTTTATGGATTGTGCTGAACATTCGGTTGTTTAGGCTGTTATGAGACATAGTTGAACGTATCCACGATTTGATCCGACGCA